CCCTTCTGGCTGTCTTAGAACAAAGTGTCACAAGCCTCCCTGGAGTTGGTCAATATAACTCCTCCATATCTTACTGTCTTCTAATTCCACTCAATAAGGGACCTGTAATAGTGATTAACTTGGCAGGGACCCAGGCTGCACCTCTTGTATAGTTGTGGGCATACACCAAGGCCCCTATAATAAATGACTGGTGCTGGTTGGTCAAATTGGTGGGTGTTATGCCTGAATTCCCCAACAAGTGTTAAGGAAAACAAACTAAACAGAATGTGTAGCGTAGTCAGATAGGCAGACAGATAAATGTGTGAGATAAGTTTGTATTTTAGTTAACACGCAGTAAAAAACAGATACGCTTGTGCTATCAAAAATATAGTTTATTCCATTAGGAATTATAGCATAGTCAAAATAAACGGTCCATTAGTCGTGTATCATTTCAGTCAGTCCAGTCGGGGATACTCAATTTGCAAAGTCCGTGTTGAATAGCCAATGTCAGTTCACTTACAATAAATCGGTCCGTATTCTCTTCTCTCCGTTGAGAAATCAACACTCCTTTCTCTCCTCCGTTCCAGTAAGGAAAAGCGCAGTCATCAATCAATCCACTAATTAGGGACCATTAAGCCAGAGAGAGAGAGCTGCAATTGACTTGCTTCTTTTATGGTGCTTTTACAACCACACCCTTAATTACATTCTTGTAGTTAAAGTTACACACACTTTAACCAACAAACCATGATAACTTATTTATTATTTTTTACCCAAACCAGTTAGGGTAAACAATGTTATCCCTAACAGTGGGTACCTCTGCATTGTAATTTGGATCTAGTCTATCTAGTTGAGACCTTAGCTTTCAGCCCATTAGCAGTTCTGCCAGGCTCCTGTTTGTGTCAGTGCTAGGGTTTATGTGCTGAACTAGAAGGAACTTATCAATTTTGGCTTGCCAGCCCCCTGGACCCATCTGAGTTAGCTCCTCTTTGGTTGACCGCATCATTCTCTCCACCTGACCATTGCTTGATGGATGGAATGGCATGGACAAAGCATGACAGATTCCATGTTCAGCTAAAAATGTATCAAATTGATTTGCTGTGAATAAGGGCCAGATACCACAATGTCCAGTAGGCCATGAGTGGAGAAAAGTCTCTGTAACACTTTGATGACTGGTTCTGCCATTGTAGTGGTCTTGATTATTACCTCAAGCCATTTGGAATATGCATCTACAATTGTTAAAAATGTTTGACCTTGTATGGGTCCTGTGAAGTCAATGTGCACCCATGACCATCGTGGTCTGGGGGACTCCCATTCGTATGCAGGTGCAGTGGGTGGTGCTGGTCTGGACTCCTGACAAGGCATACACACAGCAACCCATTCCGTTATGTCCTTCTCCATACTTGGTCACCAAACGTAGCTCCTGGCTAATGCCTTCCTTCTGACAATGCCAGAGTGCCCCATGTGCAGCATTTCTAATACCGGTTTTCTTAATATTTGTGGTACAATGACTCGGTTCTCTCACAACAAACACCCCTTTTGGGCTGATAATTCATGTTGGCGAGTTTGAAAATGTTTCAAATCACCCCCCACTGGTCCCTCAGGCCACCCCCTCCAACCCCAGCTCAGAACTTGTGCCAAAGTTTTGTCTTTGGCTGAATGTCTTGCTATCTTGGCTGATGTGACAGGGTCAGATGCAATGTCCTCAATGAATAGCATGGGTGCAACTGGGGAAGGGTCCTCTACGAATTCTGGTAGTGGGCACTGGCTGAGGGCCTTGGCGTGTCCTAGGGCTTTGCCCGGCCAATGGATCAGCCGGTACTTGTATGCCGCCAGAAAAATTGTCCATCTCCTCATTCGCGGTGATATTTGGGGTGGGGTGATCCCCCGTGATCCTAGGAGTAGTTTATGGTCCATAATTAAGTCAAAGTCCCTTCCGTATAAGTATTCATGAAACTGCTTGACCCCCACCATTGCAGCCAGTGCCTCCTTGTCCAGCTGGCTGTAGTTTCATTCGGCTACGGATAGAATTTTTGAGTAAAATGCAATTGGAGTCTCATTCCCATTTGGCATCCGGTGGCTGAGAACAGCTCTGATATCAAACAAGGAGGCATCTCAGGTTAATATGAGGGGTAGAGTCTGCACAAGGACTTGATAGTTGGCCAGGACACAATGGTCATATATGACCCTGGGTCCACCTCCATGTCACACAGAGATCCTTCAATTTGGACTGTGACATGGAATTTCTTAGGGTGATTCGCATCAGAGTACCCGATGATTGTTTGCTGAGTTTCTCTTGTTTGTGTGACTTGGTCTTTTCTTCACTGGTGCTTTAGAAACGGCACCTTCCGGAATCCCGTCTGTGAAACATATGGCCGCATTGGGGAAACAGTCTGTCTCTGGTGGAGGGAAGCTGGCTGGGTTGCTTGGCAAGCTTTTGCTATGTGCCCCTTCCGTTCGCATCTTTGGCAAGTGGTATCTTTGAATCTATATGCCTATTTAGGGTGATTTCCCCCACAATCGGCACACAAGAAAGATCTCTCTCTCACTTCCGAATTTCCAACTTTCTTACTGAAGTGAATGCAGTGAATTTCGTCCTCCTCCTCTGTAGATTTTTCATGCTTGGTGCTCTCGTGATGCATGGTGACTGCTCCACGCAAGTGATGGGCACTGCTTGATTTCTGTATGGCGGCCGCTGACTTATTGGAGGACTCATGTCCTGGCTTCCTATGGTGTGGCTTGGAACGTGAGGCTAGACTTAGCTAATAAACATCTCTTTCAAACTCAAAATGAGCCTATCTCACATTGCCTCCTCTAGATTACGGAATTTGCAGTCGGCAGTGACTTCTCTTAGCATTGCAACAAAGTCATTGACTGTCTTACTTTCCTGTTGATCCCTGTGGTAAAACTCATGTTGCTTAACCAATCTTGAGGCTGTGGGTGCATAGTGTGCTCATAGCATGTTCTGAAGTGTTGTCCAAGTTACTGTCTGTAAGTCTGTTGGTGCCAATAGGGCTTTAGCCATTTTGAAAATTTCTGGTCCGCAGTAGTTTAGGAAAATCACCCTTTTCCTATTGTCTGGTAGTCCCAGAAGTTCATTTGCTTCCATGAACATCTAAAATTGAGCCATATATGATTGCCAATCTTCTTTAGCTGGGTTGTATGGAGCTGATGGGACGTGTGGTCATCTTGGAATGGCCGATGCAGACTCTTGCCTTGCTGCTGATAGAATAGAATAGGAATAGCATTCTTTATTGGCCAAGTGTGATTGGACACACAAGGAATTTGTCTTGGTGCAAATGCTCTCAGTGTACATAAGATAAAAGATACATTCATCAAGGTCCTCGATTGAAGGCAAGTTGGTAGTAATTGTTTTTTCTGCAGTCCTAATTACTCTCTGAAATCTGTGTCTGTCTTGTTGGGTTGCAGAACCAAACCAGACAGTTATAGAGGTGCAGATGACAGACTCAATAATTCCTCTGTAGAACTGGATCAGCAGCTCCTTGGGCAGTTTGAGCTTTCTGAGTTGGCGCAGAAAGAACATTCTTTGTTGTGCTTTTTTTGATGACGTTTTTGATGTTAGGTGTCCATTTTAGGTCTTGTGATATGACAGAACCTAGAATTTGAAGGTTTCTACTGTTGATAGTGTGTTGTCTAGTATTATAAGAGGTGGTAGCATGGGAGGGTTTCTCCTAAAGTCTACCACCATTTCTACTATTTTGAGTGTGTTCAGTTCCAGATTGTTCCAGTTACACCATGAGAAAAATTGTACAACCTTCTGTCTGTATGCGGATTCGTTGTTGTCTTGAATGAGACCAATCACTGTTGTATCATCTGAAAACTTCAGTATTTTAACAAATGGATTGTTTGAGATGCAGTCATTGGTATATAGGGAGAAGAGAAGTGGAGAAAGCACACAGCCTTGGGGGGCCACTGATGCCACCAGGATGCCCAGTTCAATTCAGCTCCTTTTTCCTTTGTTGTCTTCAGATCCCACCTTCATTGCCAGTATTAAGTGTGGGTCGAGGAAGAGGCAAGACTCTCAGCTAGTGACAAACAGCTCTTTATTCAGTAGACTGGTACAAAGAAGTGAATTGCCTGTCCTACAGCTCCCTCTTTTAAAGGGAGCTATCAGACAGCTCAGCCACTGAGATTACCTCTTTTTCCCACCTGGAAAAGTGGACCAATCAATTTAAATTACTTCTTTTCCCGCCTAGATGGCAGACTAGAGGGAAGCCTTCGCTCCTCGGCTTTCCTCCTCATTACCATATTCAACACAACCCACTTAATATTGCTTAGTGCCAGAAGTCCATTGCTGATTCATAAGTTGAGAACTGTCTGTTTCTATTCTATTTTTCCTTCTGAGATTATCAGTCAAACACAAAAAAATGCAGTTTTAATATATTAACCCTGTGATTCCTCATTATAGGATTACATTAAAAAATCATTTTGCTATTGTAATCTGTTTTGTGAGATTCATGCCTGCTTCTCTAATGGAATGACTAATTGGGAGCCACTGTGGCAACCAATGAATTTTGAATATGAAGGCAAATGTAAATGTTTAGTTCTTTTCCATCTAAACTGGTACTTTTCAGTTTAAAATTCTTTCAATAAAAATCTGATTAATCATTATTTGGGGTATGTGTCTAACAGAAAGAATATTTAACTGGCCCTAGTAATGCATGTAACTAACAGACAAAAATTATTTTTGAAAGAAACAAAGTTCAAAAATCTGCAAGTACTCTAATATATTGTTTTATTTTGGGAATTAATATTAATGCATCTTTTGTTTCTCTTGAATTCTTTTTCAAGGGTATTTCTGTCTTACAATTCCTCCAAAATAAAAGGGTGGGGCATTTTTTTACCCTATATTTTAATAGGGATAGAATGTAATTGAAAGTAGAAGACAAAATTCTCCCCTGAAAGACTTATAAAGGAAGAACATTGCTAGAGAATCTTAGAACAAGAGGAAACTGTCCACATTTATGTATAGAAAGAGCTTTATTTTCTTTCTTATTATGCAGAACAAAGAATTTGTTTGCCTAGGACATGATTATGAGCGTCTGGAGGCTTTTCAACAGCGGATGTTAAATGAGTTTCCACATGCCATTGCTATGCAACATGCCAATCAACCGGATGAAACCATCTTTCAAGCGGAGGCACAGTGTATCCCTATTATTGTTTTAAAGCTGTGCATGTTAATGTCTACTAGTTTAACTTTAAATGGAGCAGTGTGTGTAAAATCCACATTTAAAATCTGCTCCATCAGTACAAATCTGGATTTACTTTAAAGGTAAATTAAAAAAAGGAAATTAAATTATACTGATAGCAGATGCAAAAGTGATGTCATGATATTACAAAGAAAATGGAGATACATGAATAGTGATGTAGTATCAGCATGGGTTTTCAGAAAAAAGCTCTAATGCAAGGAAAGGTGGAAGGAAAGGAAAGAAACAGATGAGTAAGGTGAATTGACAGTTACAGAAGAAACGTATGCAATATTGGATGACCAAACCTAAAAGAGCAGATTAGGGACAGATTGTCATGCAGAGTATCTATGTGGTATCTAGGAGATGAAAATTACTTGATGGGACATAATCATTGATCAGCATGATCATGCTAACAGAAAAATGGACTAAAAGAAAAAAATGAAAATAATAGCAACAAAAATATTTAGCTGAATTACAAGTTCCCTTTTGATTAAAATGAAAACTCAAGGTAGCTTATGCTTTAAAAAATAAAAAAAATGAATATATACAAAAAAGTAGTATCATTGTACTTTAAATGCTTGGCTAATGACTTAATATTGTCCTAATGGATATTCTAAAACAGAAAGAAAACTGGTTGCATAGAGAACTCTTAAGATGAAGGAGTGACACAGGATAATGTGTCTGGCAGGTTCCCTTCTAAAGATCTTAGTTTGTGGTCATATTAATAGTAGTATTTCTTTCACACAAGGTGTCCTAGTCTGTTATGTAGATAGGCGAACTCATATTTTTCTTTTCCAGATATTCTGCTTTGGCAAATTCCAAATCAGAAAAGAAGTATTGCTTGTTTATCTGTTATGCACTTTACCTTGCTTTCTTTTGTCTAGCAAATGCATCTTCTTCTGTTTACTTAGTACTTAACATTTTATACATAGATCTGCAAATCTATGCTGTGACACCAATTCCTGAAAGCCAGGATGTACTGCAAAGAGAAGGCATTCCAGATAATATCAAAAGTTTTTATAAAGTAAATAATATTTGGCGATTCCGATATGACAGGCCATTTCACAAAGGGACCAAAGACAAAGACAATGAATTCAAGGTATGTTATCATTCTAATTCTCATTAACAAATATTTAATTCATTCATAGTTTTCCAGAAGAATTCATAGAAATGAAAAGTAAAACTAGATGACTCACTGGGGTTTGTTATATGTTAAATACATACTTTTCTTTTCCTGTTATTTCAGAAAATGAAAATTGGTTTTTTTCCACATCATATAGGGAATTAATGTATGCCAAATTCACATGACATAAATTAGAAAGGGTGTGAAATTGGCGATATTGTGGCTACAAATCATTCCTAATAATGCCACGTGGCATATCTAAAGAAGCTTATATGGAAACAAGAAATAGTGACGAGGACTGATAGTACTGATTAAGAAAGAAAAGGAACCTAGATCCAGCAAAGATGAAAGGCTTTAAGCTAAATTACCAAACAGAAGCCAGAGGCACACAGTTCTGTCAAACTGACTAGCAGAGTCATTTAGAGCCATGGCCCCAAATCTTTTGGCACCAGGGACTGGTTCCGTGGTGAGAGGTTTTTCTGCAGATTGCAGGGGGTGTGGTTTCATGTGCTGCCTGCAACTCATGGATGGGGCTTCACTTCTTGCACAGCCCAGTTTCTGGCATGCCACAGACCGGTGCCAGTCCACAGACCGGGGATTGGGGACCTCTGATCTAGAGACTTGAGTATGTGTTGTCTAAAACTTAAGCAAATGAACTTTGCCATGTTTAGAAGTGGATCATGAGTTTTCTGAGACGAAGAATTTTCATCATTCCTTGAGTCTTTATTATGCTAAGCACTTCCAGTTCCTTCAAGCTTTCATCAAATAATGAGTCCCCAACATCTTTGCCATTCTTTGAATTCTGTTATTCTTGGTGGTTTTTTTTTAACTTATCAAAATCTTTTAAAATTTTATTTCTATCTTCTATGTTAGAAGGCAGCACTTGAAGAACTTTCAATGAGCTTGGAATTTAAGAGGTGTTGGGGCTGGTTAGTACTTGGCTGGGAGTCAATTGGCTAATAATGTAGGTTATATTGAGATGTTGGGGAAAAAATCTCAGAAAAATGCTGGGCCAAATCACTTTTGAGTTGCTGTCAAGAAAGTTACTATCCCGTTTTATTTAAATAAACTGATAAATATTCCTTCTACCTCTTTGTCATTCAAAATTAAATACATAAATTATTATAATACATGTTCCAGGACTCAACTTTATGATGCCTCACTCCAGAAATAGAATACCTAAATGACACTTTATTTTTTTATTTCAGAGTTTATGGGTAGAGAGAACAACTTTGATCTTGGTGCAGAGTTTGCCAGGAATTTCCCGATGGTTTGAAGTGGAGAAACGTGAAATTGTGAGTACAAGCTGGGAAAAATAGGTGACCCTCCATTATTATCGTAGAATATTGGATGCCAAATATATTTTGCAGGCTGTTTTAAATTGCTTACTTTAGAATAAAAAATAGCAAATAGCAATAAAGCTCAAGTCTGATTTTGAACTTGGTCTAAGGAGTCAGAGAGGAAAGGAAAGGAAGAAATTTGTTTATAGAATTATTAGTGCTTTGAAACTTGTGTAAAAATGAATTGATAATTACAGTGAAATAAATTTAAAGATGTGGTGTTCTATGGTGCAATATGATATTGTACTCCTTTATTATGTTAATAAATAGTACAATATGTGATGGTATATTGAATATGTTGCTCTAATATCTGAATACCAAAATATTCTCATACTAGCTCTAGTGCTAATGTTGTCCAGTAACTTTTTTCAGAATCATCCTTAATCATAGAATAAGTGCATCATTCTTACAGTTTTCTGGTCTTTGGAATTCCTATTTAAGGAATTTATTAAATAACACTCATTTAGAAGTGTGATGAACTGGCACTTGAATTGTAGCTATGTAATTAGGACTGATATAATTATATTTTTAGTATGGCTCATTCAATGCTTATGAGAAGCTATTGAAACATATTATATGAATAAATAACAAAATATATTCATAACATCTGGAGGTTCTAAATAATTAAAATGTAGAGTTATTTTTAAAATTTTGGCTACAGTTAAATGTTCAATGTAAAATGTAAAATGTTTAAATGTAAACACTTCTGTATTTTAATATGGCCATATAATGATGAGAGTTGTGGATAACTTATTTGGGAAAGGTTTCTATAACAATTCTTCAGTTTGTGGTTATGGTTTATATGCGGCACCAGACCTAACAGCCTCAACTTTGGTTGAGAGTTTGAGATTTGACTTTTCCCTTAAACATTTGGAGCCAGTTGAATGGAATTCATGTTGTTGGGTGGAATGGGGTTTAATTTATTATTTATTTTCTGGATATGGTATGTTGCCCAGAGTCACTTGTTTGAATTGGATGGCTTTATAAATCTAGTAAGTACAGTCAATAAATAAATCAGCCAAATCTTATAAATAAAAATACAAATTAAGAAATAGCTTGTTCATCAAATGAGATTAAAATGAATTGTGCACTTCCTATGATATATGAATGCAGTTAAGATTTCAAAGCTATCTCCCCATTTCTACTTGTATGTAATTTTCATCTGCTTACATAAAGTAGAAGCTAAAACATGGACTTTTCCAAAATTGGATTTATATGCTACCACTTAAAATTTATTGATATCTTTGGAACTGATTTGTGAACAATTTATTCAAAAAAGGAAAAAAAAAACAATAGTCGTGTTTGAATGAACTGGATTAGAAAAAAATATATTCATTGTAACATTTATGCATAATCAGCTACTTTAAAATAATAATTTGGTAATTTGTAATCCCCCCATATATTGTTTTAAGAACTTATACCAATTGGTAATCATAAATTATATTAGTAATTCTAAAAACCATAAAGAATGCCAGAATTTAGAGAATTTAATAATACTAATATTTTTAACATGAAAATCTCAGAATGATGGACTATGAAATAGCTTGAAAATCAGCATACATTATTGTGACTTTCAGTGCAAATCAGCCTTCTTTGTTTTTATTTTTGCCATTTTTGTTAATTATGTGTAGATGGAAATGAGCCCATTGGAGAATGCTATTGAAGTATTGGAAAATAAAAACCAGCAGTTAAGGACATTGATCAGTCAGTGTCAGACTCGACAGATGCAGAATATCAATCCACTTACAATGTGTTTGAATGGTGTAATTGACGCAGCAGTTAATGGGGGCGTTGCCAGGTATCAAGAAGTAAGTGTCATTCCATATGTGTTGGGGTTAGGTTGCATTCAGGGGTGGGCTTCAAATTTTTTAGCAAGGGGCTCTCTGTCCTAATGACTGGCTGGGTGGCCGCCGCTGGGTGGTCATGTGATCAGGTGGTCATGTGATTGGGTGGGCATGGCTAGGTGATCATGGGACTTGGTGGGTGTGGCCAACTCCACATCACTTCTTTGCACTAATTACCTAAAAAAAAGATATATAGCAAAAAGTTTTTTTTATTATTTCGTGCATTTAATACTTAAATAAAAGACTGGGTGAAACCAGGCTTAATAGCTGTGACTTTGAGAGGGATCTTGGAGTCTTAGTGGAGTTTCTAGTGAGATATGTGATTCTTATTATTGGGAATTAATCCCCTCCGAGGCTAGTGGCTATGTTATCTGATTTTCTCAATGGCTCTCCCTTGCAAGTGCTGAGTGGATTCTTTATCTAGCTTGCCATACTGTTACGAGGTGTGAAATGTTCTTGGCTGAACGCCCAGAAGTTCAATTAAGCCAATAAAGAGCTTTCCCTTGCTGCTTGTCTTTCTGAGGTTATTGGGGGCTTTCCTAGCCCCGCAGAGTCCCCTACGAGTCCCTAGTAGCCCAACCTGGTTTGTTTCAGTATCCCAAATACTAGTTGCTAAGGAGCAATAGTAGAAAAGTGTTGTAGCTTTATAGCTTGAGCTTTCAGTTGTCCATTAGGTTCTATAGAATACTATATTATTAAGTATTATATGGGTCTTCATCCTTGCTGATACTTTTTTTTTTAATTCTCTTAATCTTCCAATTCACTAATTTTAGGTAAATGCTAATGTTTTATTTAAATTTATTGTTATATTAAACACAAATACTTCAAATCTGCAATATTTATTATACAGGTAGCCTTTGTTTAACAATCGTAATTGAGATTGGAATCTCATTCATTGAGTGAAGCGGTCATTAAGTGAGATACCCCTGTGACTGCTTTGCTCAGTGATTGCAATCATGGCACTCCGGATCTGGGTTGGGAAAGAGCTGCCTGCTAAAAAGCATTTCAACTGCACACAAAGCTGAAATCCTCCTTGGACACAGTTCTGAGAGTGAAAGGAAATCGCTTTTTGCTCTCAAATACTCCTGCAGCCCACCCAAGTATTTTCCCCCCTGCCTATGCATGGAGGGAAATCTTTTGTGGGGCAGTCAGAACAGAGCTGAAATTCTAAAGGTTTTAGTTCCATTCCTGTAATCCCTCAAAAGATTTCAACTCACCTTCATACCCTCTGCTGCAACTTTCCTGCTGATTTCCCCACTGACTTTTTGAGGAAGTCCGCAGAGGATATTGCAAATGGTGGTCCCAGATCATTGGGGGTGGGGGGGGGGAGGCTTGGCAATGTCCGTAAGTGTACACCAATCGCCGCGCACAGAGATCATGCTCCTGTGACTGTGGGGGATGGTGCAATGTTTTGCAATGCTTAGAAGTGCTTTATATGCCACAGAGCACTCTTTTCAAAGTTGTTAATTTGACTCATCATTAAATGAGAACTATGTATGCTTTTTAATTCTTTCTTTAAGAGGCTCAGAATAAGTACAGTACATTTTATCAATTCACGACATATAATTCTGATGCAAGAGACCTGTAGCTAGATTTCCTAGATTTCAAAATAGATCATAGAACATGATTCCATGTAATATAATAAGAATTTGTAAATTTTTGTATAATTCAAGTAATTTAAACATATACTGATAGAACTCAGTGCAACCATAAATGGTCTAAATAGTAGTCAAGATAATGTTAGAAACAGGATTTTTGTATAATACACATATTATATGCATAACTTTGAAATAACAGATGACTGTGCAATATTTGTGTTCTTCTCAGGCATTCTTTGTGAAGGAATATGTTCTGAACCATCCAGGGGATGGAGAAAAGATCACATGCTTAAGAGAACTGATGCTTGAACAGGTAAAAGAAAATTCAAGCAAGCTGCTTTCAATCAATTTTAACAGAGCTGGCATATAACTAGGAAAAAGCATTAGATTGTAGCAATTTTCCATTCAGATTCTACTGAGGATTTTTCAAGTATCTAGAAGAAAAGAAGACAGAGAAGAAAAAGCAAACTAAGTTACTGATAACAAGATTTTAAAAAGCTATCTCTTTGATGTTAAAAAGAGGTGGTTAAACAGATAGGATTTTGCTCTTCATATCCGTATATACCTCATTGCAGTAATAATCTAAATGTATTGTAAGGAAATATGTACAAAGAGCAAATAAATTCCATCTGCCTTAGTGTAGGTAGGAAAGAAGAAATAAAGTTGTGATTTTAAGTAATTCCCAATATTATCCTAAAATGTTTAATCCCCTTTTCTTTTAAAATTGATCATGAAATATTTAAACTAGAAAATAGTTGGAATTTATTATTATGTGTGCTAATTTGTGCTGGGTTTCACATGTGGTCATTTGTCTTTGTATGGAGCTCAGAATAGCCAGAAGCACTCCCTGAACACTGCTATCGAAAAAGAGGCAACTAAAGAGATAGAATTCTGATTAGATCTCATAATACAATTAGTCCTTGTTTAATGACTCTAATTATGACCAGAATTTTCATCTATAAGTGTATTAAGCGAAATCCCTAAGTGGCTAGGGGTGGGATTCTACCGGTTCAGACTGATTCAATAGAACCGGTTGCTACGATTCAGCGCAGTTCAGAGAACCGGCAAATCATGCCCCTGGCTGGCCTGCTCTTCTCCACCCGCCCCCGCTCCCTCCCAGTCATTCCTTACGGTATTTTTCCCCCTCCCAACAATCAGCTGTTCCAACAACCAGCTGTGCCAGGAACCCCCTTACTTACTGCTTCACCCAGGGGGCTTCCCTGAGACCCAGGAGGCAAAAAAACTGAACACGTGGGGGGGGGGGGGTTGCTGCAAAAAGAAGAAGAAAGAGGAGGAGGAGGAGGAGGAGGAGGAGCCATGCCCACCCAGTCACATGGACATGCCCACCTAGCTACGCCCACAGAACTGGTAGCAAAAATATTTGCATCCCACCCCTGGATTAGGCAAATCACTTATTAGGCGAAAAAGGACATGTGATGGCATCACTTAGCAACAGCAGTTCTGGTATTCCTAGTTGTGGTTGTTAGGTCAGGACTCTCTCGTGAGGGTCTAGGACATTCAGGCCTCCCACCCTTGATCACACCTCCTTTGCCTCCAGCCACCCATCTCAGCCCATTCACAGCCAGCTTTCCTCCTCCGTTATTCCTCCGATTCTCCCTGGCCAATGGGCCTCTGGCCCTTTGCCCCTTGCCTTTTGGCTTGGCCCCTTCTCCAAGACACCATTTGTCCCAGAGTTTCACTCCATGGGACAAAAAGCCACAAGCCAATCAGGTGACAGGCGGCTTTGAAGGGTGATTGAGGGGGCTGGAAGAAGGATGCGATTGGTAACAGGTTACGGAAGCCAGAAAGGGAGGCAGGCAGGCAAACGCTGCCTGCATATGGCTGGTGCTGATGCTGGAAGGAGGAAGTAGGCAAACGCTGCAGGGGGGCTGTGTGGCGGCAGCAGGGCATCAGCAGTAAACATGGCTGCTGATGGTATCTAAAGGTCCCATTCCATATCATCATTAGACAAGGATCTCATGCTTCCTTGCAATGCTTGCTTTGGTTTCAACTTCCCCCCACCCAGCTATTTCCACCTTTACTGCCCTTTAGGCTGCCCTGTACTCCACTGCCATCTACACCTGCTACTCCCCACCACTTCCGGCTGACTTTTGTTGTCTTCTTCCTGCTGCTGCTGCTGAGGTACACTTAATCCTTCCTGCAACCTTGGGCAGCTTCAAGGACACTCTGCAAGACCGCCTTGAGGCATATAATGAAGGCAGGCAGCTGCCTAGGCTGCTTCTCAGCAGCAGGAGGAAGAAAGCAGCGATGGTAAGTAGGGTGCAAGGCCAAAAGAGCAGAGACAGGAGAGAGAGGCAAGTGTGGGGGAATTGAAGTACCTGCAGCTGTTGTAAATGCAGGTGGACAATCAAGAGCCTAAACGTTGATCATGTGATTGTGGGAAACAGTGTAGCGGTGATAACTTTGAATACTGGTCATAACTACCACTTATTCAGCATCCTTGTAACTTTGTACGGTCACTGAACAAATTGTTGTTAAGTGAAACCTATCTATATTAGAGTTAATGTATTAAATAGTCTTATATTGGAAGTTTCCAGTTTGATTCGTAGCTTATTGCTTTGCCCAAATCAGACAAGCTTTACGGTTAATTTCACCTGTCATATATTTGAAGTAAGCTTTGATTAGCAATTGGCATTGGAAGCTGGGTTGTTTCATCAAAATTTCATGCTCCCTCCTTGAGGAAAAAATATAATTAGGGTTCAGATCAGATGAACTAATCTTTAATAAATGAATGTCTGACATTGGTTTTTAATCCCATCACTAAATCATGAGTCATTCATACTGTCTCAATATGAACTGATTATATAGCATTGTATAGTACAAATTCCTGAATTCTATTACTATAGTATTGTATTACTATAGTATCTTTTCTCTGTATTTGAATATCTCTGTATTTGAATATTTTGTTTTGGATTTTGTTCTAAGGCCCAGATTCTTGAATTCGGCTTAGCTGTACACGAGAAGTTTGTCCCACAGGATATGAGACCTTTACATAAAAAACTGTTGGATCAGTTTTTCGTGATGAAATCTAGTTTAGGAATACAGGTATGTGAGATTTATGCTGATAGGTCTTCCAAATACAGAATACATTTGAAGCCAAATACAGAAATGTCTGCATCTGAAGTAACATTTTTATTAAGCAATAAACAGTGACATCTTCTGGCTGCATGGCTGCATTGATTTTCTTCAAAGTTTATGACTTCAGCTGAGAAATAGATTTAAAAACAAATTAAGAAACACCATCTAATTTTAGTTTACTATATTTCACTTTTCCCATAAGATATTCATTTAAAATGTAAAAAATATCTTTAAAACAGTAATTCTTATTGTCGAATTTGAATTTAGGAATTTGCTGCATGCGTCGAGGCTAGTCCAGGTCACTTTTCAAATGGAAGCCCACGTGTCTCTAGAAATTCGGTCCCTATTTCCATGAGTCCGGAGGTGGGCAGAATTCTTAGACGTAGGTAAGTTAAAGCTATAAACAAACAAATTTTTTTAAAAGCTTCATGTTTCTAATTTAGGGACATCTTTTATATATATAACAGGGATGGGGTATAACAGGGATGGGGTAGCATTCAAAACACTTAAGACAGTTCAGATCTCCTAAAATAATTGTACTTAGCTGCTAAGAGACTTATAAAGTATTTGTAAAAGGATTGGATAGGTCCCTGTTGATGGAAGGGAAAATGTAGGAGAGAAATAGTTGTATTTCAGAATTTGGAAATAGACTATTTTCTTTTGACATGTCAGAAAACATTTTGAAATGAACTGATATTACCCGTTCATGCATAGTCTTTCACAATCAATTTTAAAATGTCAATACAGGTAGTCCTTGACTTACAAGCACTATTGAACTCGAAATGTCTGTTGCTGAGACAATTTTAAGTGATTTTTGCTCCCCTTTATGACCTTTCTTGCTGCAGTTTTTAAATGAATCACTCCAGCTATTAAGTTAATAGCACAATTGTTGTGAATCTGGCTTCCCCATTGACTTTGCTTGTCAGAAGGTTGCAAAGAATGACCACATGGCACTGGGATACTGCAGTTGTCATAAATATGAGTCAGTTGCCAAGTGTCTGAATGTTTATCACATGACCATGGAGGTGCTGCAATAGTTGTAAGTGTGAAAAATGGTCATAAGTCACTTCTTTCAGTGCCGTTCTAACTTCAAATGGTCACTAAATGAACTGTTGTAAGTTGTGGACTACCTGCATGTGGATGTATATTTTACACATGGATCCTGTGGAATTAAAATACCGTATTAAAAGTAGGACATGATAAACTGAAAATAGAGTCGGGATTAATGAATTTTGTTCTGTTTTCTGCTTGCAAAATAGTCCATTAAGTTACCCAGCTATCAACAGATACTCTTCCTCGTCATTGTCCTCTCAAACTTCGGCAGAGGTCAGCAATATAACTGGACAATCTGAGAGCTCGGATGAAGTTTTCAACATGCAGGTACCAAATGATACTTTATCTGAGATGGATAAATGTACATCTTCTAAGACTTGTGATAGGATGGGAAGTTGTGAGAGAAAGCATCAAATCCAAAAAGGACTGCGAGGATTCGAATTTACTGATAGTTGAAACAATGCAAAGTGTCCGTTAACTTGTAAGTCATTATATAATAGCATTATGTTTAAAACAATGCAACTTTAAAATATAGTTCTAGTAATCAAAAGCTAATTAATGAATACATCGGGGGGGGGGAGTTAATTTCTATTTCATTAAGCCCAGAGGAAAGTGGTTTCTTTTTTATGGTAAAGTCCCAAAGATACAATATATATCTTTATCAAGCATAAATAGTATATGGTTGCTTTATTAAATAACCTGACATAACATGTATAACATAACATACATAACATGTATGCATGTAGGCACTTACTATACTACTTATTCTTAAACATCCAAAGGGAAGCAGTGATATCTTATAGCAATAGCACTTATATACTGCATCATAGCACTTTACTCTAAATAACTCTAAACCAGGGATGTCAAACTCAAGGCCCATGGGCCGGATGCACCCCATGACATCGCTGGATTGGCCCGCCACCCAGGTGAAGGGCTGGCACAGAAGGGGGCGACTACAGGGCAGCCCCCAGACTGTAGCTGGAGCGGCCTCTGCTGCCAGGTGCAGAGCAGGCAGGGGAGCGCAAGAATCACGGGGCAGCAGGGGGAGAATGGAACTTCCAGCTGGCCATCCAGATGAAGGACTGGTGCGGTGGGGACAGCGGGGAGAGGGTGGCTGCAGGGCAACTCCAAGGCTGCGAGGCATATGTGTGCACGGGGTATGTGTGTCCATGGGGGGGGGGAGGAGATGTCTGGCAGCAGGGGCTCCACAGCAGAGCGTCCAGAAAGCTTCAGCCTGGCCCATTCCATCAGGAGTCAGCGGCCGCATGTACACACAGGCATGTGCATGTACGCACAGAAGGTGGCTGGGATGATGGGGGCAGGGCCTGTATATGCAAATGCCCACTGACTCCAGCACATGCGTGTGCCTGCCAACTCCTCCTCCTCCACCGGCCTCCAGAGGACAAATAGAACACTGATCCAACCAATGGAAAAATCGAGTTTGACACCTCTGCTCTAAACAGTTTACAGAGTCAGCATATTGCCCCCAATAATCTGGGTGCTCATTTTACCAACCTTGGAAGGATGGAAGGCTGAGTCAATCTTGAGCCAGTGAACATTGAACTCCTTTGGCAGTGAGGTGAATTAGTGCCACCACTGTGCCACCACGGCTCATATACATGATACTTATATCATATGCATATACTGATATGTGACATTCAGTGACTCTGCCACCAAAAATTTCAAAAACTCTTAACAAACAAAAATATAAGTTTAAAAGAAGGGCAAAAACTCATCTACTAAATATGCTTGCCACAAAAAAACTGGAACAAAACTGTTTCTACAGATATGGGTGAGAGACTTAGCCCTAACTCTTCCTTGGCCCTTTTTTTCTTAGTATTCTTTTTTATTTCTTTAAATACATCTTTGGGTGAACAGCGTGGTTCCAGGTCTTTAACGTTTTAAAGCAAACATGACCATAATTCCATATTCCAACTATTAACTTTCTTATCTGATTTCATATTATTACCTATTACCATTTTTTCATTCAATATTCTCATGTTACTTTATATCAATCTATATTCTTAATATCACCATTTTTATACATGTTCTTGTTATCATGTTTGCAAATTTTATCAGATTTTATCATTCAATTAATCATTCCTAAATTCATCTTAATTTATATTATCCATATTTATCCCCTTTTTGATATTACTTTTGCCACCATTATATTTTTCATGCTAGGTTCTCTCTAATCTAATGATTACACATACTTTCCATCTTTTTTTATTTAACAAATTATATATTCTAATAACAATATAATTTTATCTATTACCATATACTATATACAGCTGTGTGAAAAAGTCCTACACACTTTACGGTTTACGGTTTATGACATTTTTTGGATAGGCCATTGATTTTATGATATTTTATGCTAATTGCTATCCAAATATTGTTATATTTAAATAAATACTGGTGGTTTTTAAATGAAAAGCATAAGCTTTTTGCAATTTGGTACTGTTTGGACGAGGATTGTGAATTTTCTTGCATGCTTACAATGACTATGAAAACAGATTAACTGATGCATACCCAACATGCATACATGTTGCAATTACTAAGGCCGATGCTAGTGTTTTGTTAACATTTTTATTGTTTGTGGCCCTGAAAAGGACCGTTTAGGTAACCAAACATGGTTACGAATATGAAATTGGCCAGCCCTTATTGCTTATCACCAGGTGTCATCGCTTCGGCATAGACTGTGTAAGCCTTTGCATATGATCTTTGGTGACAATGTGGTGCCAGGCTGCAATAATGGATTCAATCAACTCCTGCTTGGTCTTTGGATCCTTCTTGCTTATTTTATAACCCTCTTGGCCCACAAGTTCTCAACTGGGTACAAATCCAGGTTCTGAGCTGGCTAATCTAGGAGTCGAACACCATGCTTCTTCATCCACTGCTGGAAGGATTTGGCTCGATGACAAGAAGCGTTGTCATGCTGGAAGTAAAAGTCCTTCGCTACAAGTTGCTGAGCTGAAGGAAACATGGTCTTTTCCAGAACTTCAACATACTGCTTGGAATTCATGATTCCCTGCACGGTTTGTATCCGAGCAATACCAGAAGCAGCGACACAGCCCCAGATCATCACGTGCAATGGATGCTTCACAGCAGTGGTGGGATTCAAAATGTTTTACTACCGGTTTTGTGAGCGTGGCTTGGTGGGCGTGGTGGGGAAGTATACTGTAAAATCTCCATTCAGAGGTGGTATTTGCTGTTTCCCTGAACTACTCAAAATTTCTGCTACTGGTTCTCCAGAACTGGTCAGAACCTGCTGAATACCACCTCTGCTTCACAGATAGATTCAGGCAGTACGGCCTAAATTCTTCATCTTGAAATCTTCTGACATACTTATTGCACTGATTCCCAGTCAAGTAGAAATTGCTCTTGTCACTGAAGGTGACTTTGGCCCACTGTTCGTTGGTCCACTTGGCATACTTCGTGGCCCACGAATGTCAATGAGAGCGGTGAGCATCTGTGAACAAAGATTTACTTTGAGCCCTGCAGCCTTTGAGCCCTCTGGCAAGCAGTCTGCGATGCACTGTGCTTGTGCACACTTTTACATCACAAGTTTCACCCCAAATTCTTGTAATCTGAGGTGAGGTGAGCTTCCTGTCAGCCATCGAAATGCGTTGCAGAGCCAGATCTTGCCATTTTGTCGACTTTCTTGGTCTTCCAGAGCGGAGCCTGTCATCAACTGAACCAGTTATTTGGCAATTTTCAACCACTCTGCTCACTGTGGTGCGAGGCATTTCACTCTCTTGGCTATTTCCGTGCAAGAGTAATCCTCTTCATGAAGCACAATGTTGCAGTGCCACTGCTCAGTACCGGTGAAAGCAAAGGCCTTCATCCTTGCCCACAGCCAGAGCTAAATTAAATTTCTCGATGCTTTTCATGCCTATTTATAGTCAGAGAGTATGACAACATTGATTGGCTCTGTTCTGACCCAAACCTAGTTCCAATAGAGCAAACACAAGACAAAGGCAGCAGTACAATCTTTTTATGTTTTAGCTAAGAATCCTGTTTCTTCACAGATAAAAGGCTGCTTCCAACTAATTAGCTCCAATAAGAAAGAGCCTTGCCAAGTTTTTTCAAGTCTGACAAAAAACAACAGATAAGAAATAGTTTACAAGAGTCTTCAAATGCCAACTTGTCCACAAGGGCGAGTTCAAAACTTCTTGCCTTCTGCAAAGAAGGTTAGTTTCACAGCTGGCTTTTATGTTCTTGAAGAAGGGGCCATTACTTTGCAGCCTTACTCCTGAGTCGCTGTTGTAACCGTTCTCTCCTCTGAGCAATCCTTCATGCACGCGCACTTGGCACAGGCTCCTCAGGAACCTCCTCATCACTGCTGCCAGCTCCCACAATCTCTGAAGGCAGCAGTCCACTCCCTAATGGTGCTGGCCCCTCATCTGAGTCCTCACTCTCCTCAGCTGTCTGCACCTGCTGCCAGCTAACCACAACAGGCTCATAGATTTAGACTCTGTGCATTTTGATTGGTCATCCAAAGCTCACTGCTGATTGGCTACTTTCAATCCTAACATTCTTGAAAATGCAAGTTGCACACAAACTCACTAAAAACCTTAAAAAGACTTTGGTTATGTTAATAAAAATTATGCATCTCAATCCGACTACAGAAATTTTCATCAAAGTACTAATTTTGCATGGTTTCTATGAGTGAAAAGTTGATTAAACATGTAAATATAGCTTAAAACTGAAAGCGTGCAGGACTTTTTCACACAGCTGTACATATATGTTCTCCATCAGGTTCCACATGACATTTTCTTCCCCATACTATCTTATTAGTTTTCTTATATATTCCTTAAACAATTATATATCTTAAATAACAATCCCATAATAAATTCTTATTTTCATATTTATTTCAACTACAATATTAATCCTTATTTTATTCTAATATTTTATATATCTTTATTAATAATTCTATGATACGTGTTCATTTCAGATTTATCAAAGTCAATAATTATATATCTTAACTAATAATACACCCATTCATGTGGAATCCTTATCCTTCCCTTCACCCATCGTCTCTTACTCTCCTTACTATATTAGTTATTCTCTCCTGGCTTGCCTTCCATTTTCTATCATTTTTTTGACCCTTTATCTTACTCATTCCTCTTTTCTCTATTACATTCCACTGTTTCTTTTTCCGGTTATTTGATTTTACTCCCACCCTCTCCAAATCTTCTTAATGTAATTTCCTTTCCTGTTGCTTTGCCTTCAAAATATTCTCCCCTTGATTTATTACATACATCATTAACATTTTAATTTTGATTTCCTTTTTGTCCTTTTGTTTTGTTTGTTGCTCCCTTTGCCCTGTTTGTCTAGTTTATCTTTTATTTGACTCCTCCTCCTCCTGCATTCCTTGTTCTTCTGTAGTTTGCATCACCATTTTAAAATTTTCTTCGATGCTCCGTATTTCCAAGCATCTGTTTATCCTTTCTTTTATATTTTATATTTTGAAGTTCCAACACTATTTCTTTGCATATTTCACTCATTTTCACTCATTTATTTTATTTTTGTGTCCAAGTATCCAATTGTTCTGCATTTATTTAAACCAGTGTTTTTCTTCAATTTATAAGTCCAATCTCCTTGAATCTTTATTTCCCAAATTTAATCAGTCTATTCCTTTTAAAAAATCCAGGAGTAGTATCTTCATATATTTCTCCACCGTTTTAATGTTCCAATTTTCTGGGGTCTTGTTGTAATACAGTTCCTTTTATTTTCTTTTAAATTCACACTTTAAATAGGTCTTTAAGTTTAAGGGATCTACAGGATTTTTTTTTCTTAATACCTAGCAGGTGATGCTCTTATTCCAATTTTCACTTTCCACCTTTTCCCCCCCATTTCTTTAAACTTTTGTCAAATTTGCCAATGTTTCAAATATTAGCTATTTTTTTCCACAGTCAATTTCAGCATTTTTAATAATGCCTATCCAATGCCAAATCCTGTACAATCACCAATTACAATTTTGTGTTCTTTTTTGTAAAAGTTTTGTCTTTGAGTTATTTCTCTTCTGTTTGAATTTTAAAAATTAAATTATTTACGTTTGCCAATTTTTCTCTAACTTTTAATATCACCACCAATCCAATTCTTTATGAGATTTCTTTCCTGTTATTTTTGTTGGGGTTACCTTTTGTAGTTCGAAGTATTTTCACCCAGCCCACACACCATTCACTGCTTCTTCGCTCTAGTACAGTCTTAGGTTTTCAGACTGCCTCCTGTCTTCATGGCTGCCATTTTGACTGCTGCTACAGCTTGTCTTTGGAGGGGTTTCCCTTACCAGGCAGGAGAGATGTGGCTCTCCTCTACCTGTCAGGCAGTTACCCTTTCTTCTTCTGATCCCGGTTGGGACCCTCCAACGCGTAGAGCTCAAAGTGAAGCCACAGACGATCGTGGCCCTCGTTCTGACTATGACAGAAGTACAGCCAGAAGTTTTCCTTGGCCCTTAATACTCCTTAGAGTATTAAGTAAACTCACAATTATCAAAAACTTTAAAATATGATACCATAATATTATTAATGCCAGTTTAAATATACTTTTTATTGTATAAAACCTGACATATAGTCATAGTCTTATGTGAACAAGTGATATGGTTTTGTACTACTGTAATTATTAGATGATTATTTCTTGATATGGGTAAAATGCCCATGAAGGTGGAAGAAAATGGTTATTTTTATACTGCTAAGAGTTATAACAATAGACCAGTTTCCATGTGGGACTTAAATTTTGTTGATATGTAAGCAGTGGTGAGATTCAAATAATTTAACAACCAATTCTCTGCACTAATGACCAGATGGATAGGTGTGGCTGGGTAGTCATGTGACTAGTGGATGTGGCCAACTCAATGTCACTCACGTCAAGAGGGCGCTTCACCTTGCCCGGCCTCTCGTGACCGTGAGGATGCTGCAACGATCATGCGAAAAATGGTCATAAGTAACTTTTTTCAGTGCCATTGTAACTTTGAATGGTCACTAAATGAACTGTTGTAAGTCCAGGATTACCTGAGAAAAATACAAAAAGCTTATTTGCTTGCAAAAAGCTGCCCTAAATACCAATCATTAGATTAGAAATGGGGGAATACACACTGAAGATCAATGATAGCCACAGCCATCATGGAAACCTAAACCATTCCGCAATACTTGCAACCCAGAGTTACAAATCAGGCAGGGTGCCAGAGCACCTTGAGGAATTAAAATAGTTAAAGTGCAATGATAACTATCACCAGCCATAAAGTGAAACCCTTTAATAGAAAGGTCATTTAAACTCTCCAGAAAGTGGGTGGGCATATTTAGGCTACAAAATATTGAGCTAAAGAAATAAATTAACAAAGTATATAGGGGACCCAGGTTCAAGTCTCCCAAGCTTGTAAGGATCGTAATAAAATTACTACATGACTCAGATATCTAAATAAACTTCATGCCTGGTCAGGTCAAGCCCCTAAAAGTACCAGCAAAAACAACAACAACCCTCCAGAAAAGCTCCAGCTAGTCTGGGCATACTGCCGAGAACCATTAGCTGCTGTTACAATGCAACAAGCTTAACCAGAGAGGCGGTTTCTGAAAACACTTAAAGCAGGGCAATAAAGATAAGGATTAGGCTAGAAACAACACAGAGGCACACCAGAATGTTTCTTTCCTGCCTTCCTGACAGGAAGAGAAAAGAGCTGATGTGAAAAGAGCTGATGTGGTTCCCATCTTGAAAAAAAGAAAAAAAAACAGACCCAGGAAACTATAGACCAATCAACCTAACATCTATACCTGTGAAGATACTGGAAAAGATAATAAGTAAACAGATCTGCCAACATCTAGAAACAAGTAAAGTAATAACTAGCAGTCAGCACGGGTTTGTTAAGAACAGATCATGCCAAACCAACCTTATTTCATTCTTCAACATAGTGACTAAATTAGTAGCACAGCAAAATACTGTGGATGTAATATATTTAGATTTCAGCAAGGCATTCAACAAAGTAGACCACAACCTACTTCTTAGTAAGCTAGAAAAAAAGTGGAATAGATAGCACCACCACTAGATGGACTTGCAACTGGCTGACAAACCGTACTCAATGAGTAGTCCTTAATGGGTCTAAGTCTACATGGTTTTGATCCATACTCGCCGCTGGAGCAGCCCAAGCCGCTGTAAAACCCCAAATAAAACTTTATTTTAAAAAAAGAAGAGATTGGACTGCCATTTGTCAGAAATGGTGTAGGGTCTCCTGCTTAGGTGGGGGGTTGGACTAAATCAGTGGCCCCCAACCTTTTTTGTGCCACGGCCCGGTACCGGCATCACAAAATGATCTGTGGCCCGGTACCGGCATCAGCACGCATGACAAGGCAAGGCGAGCCGAGCGACCGGCCAGCCAGCTGTCCCCCGCTTCTCCCCGCCACCTTCAACTCCTCCTTTGTACCTTTTTTGTGCTTTTTTCTGCTTTCTTAATCTCCTCCGCCATCGGGACGGCTCTTTGTTCGAAGCCGCCCCCCCTTCGATGAAACTAAGGCATGAGGATTCCTTCAGGACCCAAATGCCACTTTCCAACCGGAAAAGCTCACCCAGAAGCACTTTCTCGTCGAAACAAGATGGCGGCGCCCAGCAAACCGGCGGCCCGGTAGAAAATGATCCACGGACCGGTACTGGTCCAGGGCCTGGTGGTTGGGGACCCCTGGACTAAATGACCTATAAGGTCCCTTCCAACTCTGATTATCTGTTATCTGACAGGATTAGCCCTGTAAAGTGGGAAAAACAAAAGGCTGTTGGAAGGAGATTTCTTCCAACAACTGGTTCTCCAAATTGCTCAGAAATTTAACGAACGGTTCTGTTGAACCGGTGCGAACCGGCTGAATACCACCACTATGTAAGGCAAGAATCTTTTGGAATGTGACTGCTTCTCTGGAGATCTAGTGTAGAATTTTGCCCTGAGTTGCCAGTCTTAAATTCCTGTTTATGTACAAATATGCATCTTTTAAAATGAGTAAGATACGTCATCTTCAATGATGTATCAACAAGAGAAAAACCAAGTCCAAGCATATATATCATATATAAGATTATCAGTCAAACACAACTGCAAAGTTTTAATATATTAATGCTGGGATTCCTCATTATACATTAAAAATCATTTTCCTACTGTAGTTTGTGTTTTGTGAGATTCACACCGGCTTCTCTAATGCAGTGTTCCCCAACCTTTGTGGCTTGGCCTGATGGGGTGGGAGGAGAGAGGAACTGGGCAATGCGAGCAGTGGGCCAGGGCACATGTGCATACATGTAGCTTGACTCACGTGAGTGCATGGTTTCTAGGGATAGAATGTAATTGAAAATAGAAGACAGAATTCTCCTCTGAAAGACTTACAATGGAGGAACATTGCTAAAGAATCTTAGAACAATATAAAAAGACCTTGTTATTTTATAAGATCTACAGTTATTTTATAAATATTGGCACAATCAATCAATGGTTACTAAAGGAAATAAATTAGACAAAATCTGAGCTGGTCATTATGGAATAATTCGAATTAGATTTAGGTTGCAGTCATACAAACAAGTTCCTCTGTGCCATTTTTATTTTTAGGCAATAGATAAGCATCAGGTTACATCTTCAATCATTTATGTATCATTCAACCATATTTTTGCTTCAAATATTACATTTTCCATGAGCCTAAGAATTTTTGCATTGAGCTGCTGTCATAATGTACCATATTATTAGTCAGTACATGTTGCTGCTGTTTTTTCATTGTTACATGATACTGAGAGTTTGTGGCTTTTTATGTATTTCCAGCCAAGTCCGTCTACCTCAAGTCTGAGTTCTACTCATTCTGCTTCCCCTAATGTGACCAGCTCTGCTCCATCCAGTGCCAGAGGTTAGTGTTTTGTTATACAAAGATCCTTATGGAATCTTTACGGATCAAAACTATACTATTAGGTCTAAATCACATTACATGGAAATTCTACATGGGATATAAATTCTGTGTAAATTCTTTATCCAATATTTGTCCCCCACCCAAATAATCCATCATATTGCAGATTGCATTGATTCTCTGGGTTTGTCTTGTATTCCAGGCTCACCTCTGTTATCAGACAAGCTTAAACATTCCAGAGAAAACTCTTGCCTATCTCCAAGGGAGAGGCCCTGTAGTGTCATTTACCCAAATCCTGCTGAGCCTTCACAGGTAGGCATTATTCAGGGTGCAGTAAAAGAGCTACATTCCTGAAAATGAACTGACAAATGTTTTAGGTCTTATTGATTCTTATTATTTTAAAGTTTTATCATCTCAATTTATAAGGAGGGGCTGGTCTGATTAGTGCTTGGATGGGAGGCTTTTGAGGCTGTACCAGGTTACAGCAGGAACTTAAAAACAAGCCATTCCGGAAGAATGAAGTGACAAACCATTTCCATACTGTTGCCAAAACCCTACATGCATATATCCATGAACTTCTGAGGAGTAAATGTTTTTGAATTTACAGATAGAGTAAGTGACAATTTCAGGAAACTCAGTTTAGATGCCCTGATTGTTGATTGCTATTCAGATCCAGAAAAAAATGAAAAACTCCAGGTTGTCTACTTCTGGCTTACCTACACCAACCTTTTGAGCCATTTCTTTAAGGATGTCAGATAAAGTTGTTGTTCCTTTTGTTAATAAAATCACCTTTTATTTTAAAGTAGGCAAAGTGTGCATGAAATAAAGACATGAACGGGCATCTTTCGTTTATATATCTCATCTCTAAGTAAAGACATTATTTTTATCTAATACATGACCTATGCAATTCTTTCCATATTTCCATATTATCATGCAATTAGCCATGTATTTCTGATGCTGAGACTTCGATCAGATTTGATCTACTTCCTCTCGATCTCTGGACTCCTAGGTCGGTTTACATAGAACTCTGTTCTTTCAGAGGATCTTAATTTAGAACAAATATGTACTGTTCTTATACCTACTTAAATATTGGCAATTCATTTTTCAAGACAGAAAATACTGGTTTATAGTTGGCTTTGTGACTTTATTACATCATTACTTACAGTCTTGACCTGTTACAGTAGTACAGGGGTGTCAAACTTGTGGGCTGCGGGCTGGATGCATTACATGCTGGCCCCACCCATGCCCGGTTTAGCGAAGGGGGAAAAAGTCCCGATATATCACATGATGACACCATGATGACGCAAGTTTGACACCCCTGCAGTAGTAAGTTTTTCTCAGTAACAGTTACAGTATGTCTTGGCAGATACTAATTCCTAATTCTTCCTGAATTTTTCTACCATCCTCTGGAGCAGCTAGAACAGGAAACAGCAGAGAAAAATCTCTATATGGTGGCTTTTAAGACATACCACACACAAAGTCTGCCATTTTTGCTCCTAGCCTGCAAATTCTTTGCCAAGTGTAATGAAGGTTTCATTCTCCAATGCATTAGAGATTCACCAAGAGAACCTGAGGAGCAGGTAGGCCCAAAAGCTGCTCTTCCACTGCTCTTCATTCAGCAGGAAAATTTCCCAATCTGTCAACATCCTCAGTAGCCCTCACAGGATAAATAGTAAAAAATATTTTTCTCATGCAGGCATTATTAATTAAGCCTTGGATGGTTCATTTTTCCCTTACTATCTTAAACTAAATCTAAGAGATGAGGATTGTTTAGATGAACTCCCTTTCTTAAAAAAACAGCATTTGAATGGGGTCTGTTGGTTTATCATACAGTAGGGACACTATTGAAATTGCATATATCTTTGTTAAGAGATATTATGAGATATTATATAGATGTTGCTTGGAAATATAGTTTTCTTAGAGTCCTGGTACTCAATTTGGTTATATCACTGCAGGGGGGAAAAAAGTCATTCCTTCCAGAATGCTAAAAACTAGGCCATAGATCTGTCCTGTCAGCTTTTTTGCATTTGGATCAGAAATATATCCATCAAATCCATCATTGTTTTCCATACGAACCTTTTATTGTTGTACTTTCTATGTCACAAAATAAGGATCAAATCACATCACAGCTTTTGTTAAGAATAAATATGTAAGAGTGGGCTATCATATCATAGACTTTAGTTGCCCAGATGCCATATATTATATTGTGTGAATTAATTATCCTCTGAATTCATGTGCTGGGATGTTATATTTAGTTTCTATTGAGTATGGCTAATCAGGAAAACTACTACTACTACTATTTTTTAAATACACTATTAAACTTTTATTACATTAATAACATAAAAAAGAGAAAAAGAAAATGTATCACTCAACAACAGCAATTTGTAGTGATTCTCTTATGATAATAATTTGTGTGTTATTTACAGATATTAAATTATGCATAATTACATTCTTATTTTATCTATTATTTATGGTTAATAATTATATTTAATCTAATTAACGGTTTTCAAGATGGCTGCGCACATGGGTGCTGCGGCTAACCGCTCCTTCTTTCAGTGTATGGTAGTGTATGATTCTGTGTGTGTTTTGGATCCTTTCCTTGATTGAATCCTGTGGGGCAAGGAGCATCTATAGTCGGCAAGCCTTGTTACAAATTGGACTGAAATGTGAAAGGGCTATTATGGATGATTTTATACATTCTCATAACATACCGAAGGAGGCAGCTAGGCCCCTGGGGGAGCCATGGATCACTATCCCTGTAGGAAGGAGGAAGAGGCAGAGAAAGAAGAACAGGAAGAGGAAGAGAGGATGCCGTGCTGGAGTTTTCTTTAGGCTGAGTAAGTTTCCACACAAGCCTTCAATTCCAAGTATATTTCTTACAAAATCTCTGACTAACAAAATGGATGAATTATGGCTACAGATTGCAAAGACTAAATTCACCAAGAACTGCTGTGTTTTGCTAATCACAGAAAGTATATACCAACATCAAACATGGCTATAAGGTTATACAATTACCACATTTGGGACAATCAGACCATATGTCACTGCTTTTAGCACCAGCGTACATCCCTCTTAGGAAACGGGCTCTGCCTATAATAAAGACAGTGAAATCTTGGCCAGAAGATGCTTCCCAACAACTTCAGGATTGTTTTGAGAACACAGATTGGGACGTCTTTTACCACCCTGACCTAGAGGAGCACACTGCAACTGTTCTGTGCTATATCAAACACTACACAGATACTATCACTGTGGATCTATCCCAATCAGAAACCCTGGATGACTAAGGAAGTCCAGCGCCTCTTGCGTGACAGGACCAAGGCCTTTAGGTCTGGTGATGGGGCAAGATACAGTGTTGCCAGAGCTAATCTGAAGAAAGGTATTCGGGAGGCCAAGACTGAGTATAAGAGGAAGATTGAGGATAATTTTTATAGCAATAACATGAGGCAGGTGTGGCGAGAGATTCAACAAATTACAAACCATCAACTGACCAATGTCATCCCTGCTGAGGGGGATGCTTCATTGGCAGAGGAACTGAATCATTTCTTTGCTCGCTTTGAAGTGGAGACATCAGAGACAGATAAAATACAACCACCAGCCAATTGTAGCCCCCACCTCATTGTGGAGGAACAGGAGGTGAGGAGCATTCTGAGGGCTGTGGACCCTAGAAAGGCTGCCGGTCCTGACGGTATCTCTGGCTGAGTGCTTAAAGACTGCTTATCAGTTGGCTGGAGTTTTTACCAGGATCTTCAATCGGTCTTTATCCCAGTCCACTATTCCATCTTGTTTGAAGGTTTCCACCATTGTTCCTCTGCCAAAGAAGTTCCATATCAATAACCTCAACAATTACAGACCAGTGGCACTCACTCCTATCATCATGAAGTGCTTTGAGAAATTGGTCTGCCGGAACATCATTTCTGGTCTTCCGCCTACATTTGATAAACACAAGTTTGCATACAGAAAAAAATAGATCTACAGAGGACGCTATAGCCATCTTTCTTCACACTGCTCTGACTCATCTACAACAGTGGGGGGGGGGCCTATGTGAGGACGCTTTTTGTGGATTTTAGTTCTGTGTTTAACACAATTCTTCCACATAGACTAGTGTCTAAACTTCTGGACCTTGGCCTTTCTAATTCAATCTGCCTTTGGATTATGGATTTCCTATCTGGCCTCTCACAGAGGGTAAGATTAGGTAATCATACCTCTTCAGCCCTTATTCTTAACACTGGTACACCACAGGGTTGCGTGTTGAGTCCCTTACTCTATACTCTTTATGTGCATGACTGCATTCCTACTCATGCTAGTAATACTATTGCTAAATTTGCAGATGATACAACAGTGGTGGGACTTATCTCTGGGGGGATGAGTCTGCCTACCAAGATGAGGTGGACTGGTTGCTTTCGTGGTGTGGAGACAACAACTTGGTCCTCAACACCAATAAGACCAAGGAGCTTATAGTGGTTATAGAAGGAACAGATCAGACATCCAGCCCTTCCTTATCAATGGAGACCGAGTGGAGCAAGTGGCCAGTTTTAAGTTTCTGGGTGTTACCCTAAAAGAGGACCTGACCTGGGGTGTCCACATTGCAGCCCTGGTCAAAAGGGCCCAGCAGAGATCATACTACCTGAGACTTCTCAGAAAACAACAACTGAATGAAAAACTGCTGGTGACCTTCTACCGCTGCACTATAGAGAGCATTTCAACATACTGCACCTCTGTATGGTTTGCCAATCGCACAGAGGCAGATAGGAAAACACTTATTTCATTCTTTGATAAAGTAACTAAATTAGTAGACTAGCAAAATGTTGAGGACATAGTATACTTAGATTTCAGTAAGGCATTTGACAAAGTACACTACAACCTACTTCATGGTAAACTAGAAAAATGTGGACCACCCCATGGATTTGTAGCTGGCTGACAAATCATACTTAACAAATAGTCCTTAATGATACTACAACTACATGGGGGGAAGTAAGTAGTGGGGTACCACAATGTTCCATCTTAGGCCCAGTACTCTTCAATATCTTCATAAATGACTTTGAAGAGGAAATAGAAGTGGAACTCATCAAATTTGCAGATGACACTAAGCTGGCAGGAATAGCTAACACCCCAGAAGACAAGCTCGGGATCCAAAATGATAGACTTGAACAATGGGCCCTATCCAACAACATGAATTTTAATGTGGAAAAAAACAAAGTTTTACATTTAGACAGGAAGAATCAAAGGTATAAGTACAATTTAGATGAGACCTGGCTCAAAAACAGTAATTGTGACCTTGATGTCCTAGTGGATGATCACTTACATATGAGCTAGCAATGTATGGCAGTAGCCAAAAAAGCTAATACAATCCTGGGTTGTTATAAACAGAGGCATGGAATCAAAATCACGCGAAGTATTTGTACCACTTTATAAAGTCCTAGTAAGTCCACACCTGGAATACTACAACCAATTTGGTCATCACACTGCAAAAAAGATGTTGAGACTTTGGAAAAAGTTCAGAGAAGAGCAAATAAGATGATTAAAGGCATGGAGACTAAAACATATGAAGAATGGTTGCAGGATTTGGGTTTGGCTTGTCTAAAGAAAAGAAGTAGAGGTGACATGATAGCAATATTCCAATATTTGAGGGGCTGCTATAAAGAAGAGGGGGTCAAATTGCTATAAAAAAGAGGGGGTCAAATTGTTCTCCAAAGCACCAGAGGGAAGAACAAGAAACAATGATTGGAAACTCTTTGATTAAGGAGCGAAGCAGCCTGGAATTAAGGAGAAACTTCCTAATACTGAGGAGAATTAACCAGTGAAACAGATTGCCTTCAGAAATCATGGGCACTTCATCACTGGAGGTTTTTAAGAAGAGACTGGACAGCCACTTGTCTGAAATGATATAGGGTCTCCTGTCAGAGCTGTGGGCTGGACTAGAAGACCTCTAAGAGTCCTTCCAGCTCTATTTTATTCTTGCTTCAGATATCTCACTATTTTACATATTGGTTTGCTTCTACCATTTATCCCTGACTTCAGTTCTTTGGCTGAGTCTTATATATTTTCTCACTGAAAAGCTGTTACATTGTATTCTTCTGAATGTTGCATATGATTGTCAACTCTTGAGAAATTGCATTGACAGTTAGTGTCCTAGGTGGGTAGTTTAGCATATGCAACCAATGAATGCACAGTGGAACCTGTTGTGAATGCTTCTGTTTGCGGCCAAATCGGGTGGCGAACAAAAAATCCACCCAAGTTTTGAATCAGGTCATGATTCAAAAATCGCCGTGATTTCCCCTTCTGCACCATTTTTTGTTTTTGTTTTGTCTGCACATGCGCAGATGGTCATGCTTCTGGTCATGACCAGATCAGGTTGCAGCCGAAATCCTGGAATGGATTATGGTCACGACCTGAGGCTCCACTGTATAGTATTCTTTCAGCATTCTTCCTTCCTTCTTTCTGCTAAAATTTATTTTTTAACACATGCAAATTTTTAGTTTCCTTAATAAACTTGGCTAAAGTGGTAATTTGTTTTTCAGATATGTCTATGAAACAATTTTAAAAGAAGGTAGTAAAATAATTAACTACAGTATGAGTCTTGCTGTAAGCTGTCAAAGGAAGCTTCATGTTTTATTGGGCACTTAGAAAAAAAATCATTTCACTTTGAATCATGTATGGCTACATGACTTGTAAATCAGGATATATCCAGATTCAGTCCTCTTGAAGAAAGGAAAAAAGGAGATTTTTTTTCAGCAGTACCATCTTAACATCTCTGTATTCTTGCATGAATATCCGTCTTCTTAAAGTATTTCATTTCGTATGTCTAATGGGAGCCTCTCTTGTATCTTTACTTCTGAAGAGACATTTCTGCTGAAATAGCTAATCTTTTCTTGTTTGTATACCTGTAACTGGAATTAACTATCATAAAAATACACTATTCTGAATTTTTAGAGAATTGTGTTCAATCTTAATGGTGATGGTGCTTTGCCTCGAAGTGACCCCAGTTTGTCTGCCTCTGAGAAAGGTAAGCATATCATTTATTTTAATATTCTACCATATCTTTTTGTAAAGTACAAAAGACAGTTAACAAACAAATGTAAAGCAGTATTTATTGATATTGTATCTCAAATACCAAACATATGCAAGTAATTTCAAATATGCTGGATATATTTCAGATATTTATGTTAATTCTCAAAAGCTTTAACAATTAATATCTCTGTTGTCATGGCTTAACAGCTGTAACTAGCACTCCCAGCAGTTGGAGCCTGGACAATGGGAAGGAAGCCAAAAATATGTCAGAAAATGGAAAGCTCATGTCTCCTCCTGTGCCACCTCGTCCCACTGGTATGTCTGTATTTCCTTAGTCTTCTTTTTGAATACAACTAGCTCTACACGTGTACCTAAAGCTGGATCCTGCCTGGATGTGATTTTGGCTTCCTGTTACATACCAGAAGAATACCAGATGATTTTAGAACAGGAACAGTAAACCAGCCAGGAGGGTCAAAGAAAAAATTAATTTTGGAGAAAATGCTGCAAGTGGAACAAACATTGAAGAGGACAACTAATGTTGCATATTGAAACAAGAAAGCAAGAAAAGTTATATTCTTAAATTCTGGAATAGAGGCACAGCTTTTGGTGTGGAGCTTTATCTGTAATCTGTAATGGTCCTTAGTTCATGTTTCTACATGCCCATAAACAACCTAATAGTTTGGTGTAATGGTTAAGTTACCAAGCTAGAAATTGGGAGACTGAGTTCTAGTCTTGCCTTAAGCACAAAACCAGCTGGGAGACTTTGGTCCAGTTACTCTATCTTAGCCCCAGGAAGCAGGAAATGCCAAGCCACTTCCAGAAAATTTGTCAACAACACTGGACAGACTTGCAATCAAACAGTGAATAGTGAATAGAAACAATCACAACAAAATTCAAGCAGTGATTAAGTACAATAAATTTAATTATTTCCCAGATTTTTAGTATCTATCTTTTCTGCCACATTAAAAAATTATAGTTTTGTGATATCATCTGGAAGAGGTTTTGAAAGGATTTGGAAACCCTAGATTGTGCAATTTTATTTAGAATAGAATAGAAATAGAAATAGAATAGAATAGAATAGAATAGAATAGAATAGAATAGAATAGAATAGAATAGAATAGAATAAATACACTAATCAGCATACAGTAAAATGAAATTGTGTTGCATTCAGCTCTCAAAAGATAGCCATTATGCATAAACCCACATAAATACACATGCAGTGGAACCTTAGGTCGTGACCGTAATCCATTCCAGGACTATGGTTGCAATCCGATTTGGTTGTGACTGGAAGTACGACCGACTGCACATGCGCAGATGGACTGTACCTGAATGGAAGGAGAAATCATAACGGCAAGGGAATCTGCCGCAGTCGGGTTTGTTCGCCAGCTGATTTTTGAATCATGACCTAATTCAAAAATTGGGTGGATTTTTTGGTCAGAACCCGAGGTTCCACTGTCAGGCTACAGAACTTTTCCCATTCACTCAACTAGAATGAACTTCTGAAAACGTATCCAAACGTATCACAAAGGAATTCTTTATTGAGATGAGACAATTCCTGTAGGAGTTCAAAGCAGCGTCTGAGGTCTCTCAGGCATACAGGGATACATAAGGGAGTTTAGAACCCCTCCCCTTATCTCGATGTGTATTTAGTGAAACAAAAGCCAGTATGTTAATTCCTCCCCACCCCTCTTCTTAGAACGAACTATTCAAGAGATTCCCAAAGTACAATCTCACTGTGGAATTTTTATGACCTTCTCATCTCCTGGTTGTGCCTCTCAGATGATATCTCAGGTGATAGTTCTGGCCATCTGGCTTTTCTCCCTCCATCGTATCATGTGTGGGTTATACAAATTCGATATAAGATTAAATATATTCAGGTTACATCAAGAAAGGATTTCTTTATCAGCCTCCCCCCCCCCTTTCTTCTTCCACTGAAGAAATGACAGATACACGGATCTGACATCGACACAGAGAAATATTAACATCGAATGTGGAAAAAAAATATAAGACAAATGGCATAAGGAACAAAGATATTACAGAATCTAGTAGCCCTACTATAGATATTTTGAAACCTTCTCCCAGAGGGAAGCAGCAGAAACAGACCTTGAAGTCTCTAACAATGCTTCAAGCTCTAAGCACATAGTGCTTATAAGCAGTATCCTGAATAATGGAAAGCGAGTTTCCTATAATCTTCTCAGCTGTCTTTACCACTCTCTGTATGGACCTTCTAACTGAGGCACTGCTACCATCAAACCAAACAGTGATGTGGTTTGTTAAAATGCTCTCAATTGTGTATCTTTAAAAAGTGACGAGGACAGAAAGAGAAAGATGTGTTCTCCTCATCCGACACAGGAAATGCAAATGCTGGTTTGCTGTTTCACTAAAGATAACACATGAAGAGACCAAGTAAGATTGTTAGTTATATGCACCCCCAGATATTTAATACTATTGACCATCTCCACAGCTGCAGCCTTGATACAAAGTGTGGTATGACTAAGCTGGCTCTTTCTAAAATCAACACTGATCTCCTTTGTTTCATTAACATTCAAAACCAGGTTATTTTTATTACACTACTCCACTAGAGCCTTCACCTGTTCCCTATAAGAATCTTCATCGTCATCCTGGATAAGCCCACCACTGCTGTGTCATCGGCATAGTTGATCTGGCATTCCTAATAAGTATTTTATTGTTTTTGCTATACTTTTCATTTTGCCTGTCATGGAGAGTAAATCAAGGGGTAGATTGAGAAAAGTGCTTTGAGATATTATTATTTTGCTGTGAATCTGAGCAAGTGGGTGGCAAAGCCAGTACAATTTAATTTTCAATAGGCCTGATGGTCCAAATTTCTTTAGAAAAATGAGAAGACCTTATAATGATTAATTTTCCAATGACCCTTTTAATTTTAGTTGTTACCAGCTTTTCATCTGCAGGAAAGACAAATATATGTATTTTGGGTTTTATGATAAGATGGAAATATAACCCCTGATTACTATTTGTCAAGCTTCTAAAATATTGCAGTACTGAAGTAGTTTCTACAGGATATTTTTTAAAATATGGGATTAATTCAAACCAGTCTGGGCCTAGTCTGATAATTCATTTTATTACCTTATACTATTTCTTACTTGAAATTTATATGAGAGAGAAGTGAATGGAGCAAACTTGTGTGGTTAACCAAGATTCCCCAATAGAGATATTCACTCTATTACGTACTCTCCGTTCATATTTCTAATAAAATTTCTATTATTATAAAGTATTTTCATTGTTTAATGGGAAGCTCTATGTTTTCTATCTGAGGTCTGTCTGACTGTTTTTAATCCTGTTTCAATTTTATAATCTGTATCTTTATTATAAGATATGTGTTTTATAAATCTCTCTGAGTGTAAAATACATATGCATTTTTTCCTTCCCCCCTCCTCTCATACACATTTTTCTTCATTTTTGCTAAGCTGTTCATTTCCATCAAGCTGTCACAGTCCTCACTTACTCTAAACTATGTTAAATTTATGTGAAAATGATTTTCTCCACAGCATCACCAATTCGACACATAACCTCAGTTTCCCCTTCTGCTGGAAGATCTCCAATGAAGGTACTGTTCTGCCTTCAATACATTTAGAAGCAGAACTGCATTATTTATCATCATTTACATTAATTGTGGCTGACTTTTCACCTTCAAAACATAAATGTGTATTTATGCCTTCCCAATTTGTGTGGTGTGATGGGAATAAAGAACTAAGCTTTTTAGTCATTTTTGTTCTGATAAACGAGTAGATCATGTAAAGGTCCATAAAAGACAATAGGCTGAATACATTCATGAGACAGTGGTCATAAATTGGAATGAATATAAAGAGATTAATTTCTTAATCTTAATTTCTCTCATTCTACCCTGTAACATAGCAGTATATCCATGCAATTCCAGGAGCATTCACAATGGATTATTGTTGTTCAAGATATATTAAGCTCTCCTTGTTGAGCAATGGAGACTCTTTTAAGTTCTGGGTTATGATTTCTCCCAACATTCATAGATTGTTGAATTTGGTTTCTATCTCTTTCTCTTTAGCTTGAAGGCACCACCAATATTGCATAGTTCACTTGTCTACTATATTAACTTTCTGTGATGTGATATACTAAATAACACAAATATAGATTGGGCGATTGTAATTTAAAAGTAGATACAAACCACAGTAATCCAAGGTTTTATAGTATCAGTGAATAAGCACCATTCAGTTTTTGATGTTCAAACCACAAAACTGTTATAACAATAAGTATTGTTATAACATGGACAATAGCAGGGACCCAAAACTAATGTAGAAGCATGTTCCTCTACTTCCTTTTCTCTCCTAGTCTCTTCTTTCTATTTCCAGACTAATTTTTTATTTTCTAAACTCAGGGTTCTGTGCAATCATTTTCATCATCTATGGACTACCATTCGTCTGGGCTCATTTCCAACTCTCCAGTCTTGTCTGGAAGCTACAGCAGTGGCATTTCTTCGCTTAGTCGATGTAGCACATCTGAAACATCTGGCATTGAAACTCACATCAATGAACATCCAGTTCCTTTTTCTAATTGCAACGTTTCCGAAGAGCCAATAAGAAAAGAAAGCAAAACTCCTCCACCTTATAGTGTTTATGAGCAGACTCTAAGGCGTCCCGTCCCACTGCCTCACAGCCTTTCCATCCCCATTTCTACAGATGCACCAGCATTACCCCCAAAACCTTTGTTGATCAGACCAAGCAATTTGGAGCATAGCAGCAAGAGAACAGAACATGTACCTCGACCCAGGCCTCTTCCACGAAAAGTCTCTCAGTTATAAATGAAAGTCAAAAAAATCATTTTTTGAATGTGTTAAACGAAAAACATATCTGATATAGGCACTTTAATATTTTTCACAAATCATTCCAGTGATTTTTAAAAACTGCTTAACTTTTAGTACTTAACTAAGTACTAGCTTAAAAAGCCAGAACCTAGAGGCAATGAGACTGAAAATTCTATATTTAGCATAGCATAGAGCAAATATGATTCTGCATGTAAATTTGAACCCGGAGCCTAGCTGTTCAAACAACATCAAAAGCATACCTTCTCTTGAAAGCCTTATATTAGTGTAACAGCGTACTTTATGACAGAATAAAAAATGATTTGAAGCTAATGAATCCAATAAAACTCTTGTGGTTTGTGATCACATTGCATTGGAAAAGGTCCTATTACAAAGATGTTGTAACTGAATTTCCAGGAAAAAAAATGTTTGGGTTGTTTTCTTTCTACTGACATGTTATTGCATTTTATTCAATATTTGTATGTATGCTATTGGAACTTGTGTCTTAGAGATCTTTTTTCTAGCATTCTAGAGTGGTTCCGCAGTGGTTAAGAGAGCAGTACTGCAAGCTACTTCTGCTGCAGCCAGCTGCCTGCAATTTGGCAGATCAAATCTCACCAGGCTCAAGGTTGACTCATCCTTCCATCCTTCCGAGGTTGGTAAAATGAGGACCCAATTTGTTGGGGGCAATATGCTGACTCTGTAAAATTACTTAGAGAGGGCTGTAAAGCACTATAAAGCGACATATAAGTGCTATTGCTATTCTGACAGTGGTTAGTTTATATGCTTGTAGAATTTGCCCCCTCCATTTTATTTTATTTTAGATAGGTGCAATTTACAGTTCCATGAAAATAATAAACATTAATACTTATTGTACTATAGAAAATGTAGCCAATATGTACAGTTAATTTTTTTTAAAGATCATTGATTTCAGACACAGAAACTAACTCCTCAGATTATTTTAATGGCGAAAATGAATAAGTCATTTTAAATGTGAATCAAGAAAAAAACCACTATCAGATTCTTAAGATGAAAACACTGAAAGCAATTAAGTCAAGCAAATGTTCACAAGAATTAGGCTATTTACAAGTAGCATTAGCAAATTTTTAAAGACTATTATTATTATATATAACATTTCTGAATGAAAGTTCTTCCATTCCGTTGCTCTTATATTCCACTCCAAAAATGTGGAGAAAATAATTTAAGAGGTAATATTTCAGATGGTGGAAAGAGAGAGGTTTTTAGGTAGAGACTGAAAATTTGCTGGCAACTAAAAGGAAACCAGATTTCAGCCCCAATCCTGCAAAATGTTTTCTCTGAAAGTGCTCTTAATTGGTATTTTTCTAGAAAGCTCCTGTGTTTTTGAAAGCTCACATTTAGTCCTATAACTGTATAAACTAAACTTAAGTATACAGGCAATTTTTCCATTCCCCTCACAAAACTTGCTGTTTGTAATATTTGTTTGATATCATGTGGTCTGTACTTTTCAATTGTACCTTTAAAGTTACCTCCCTGTTTTGTTGGAAAACTTGCGTTGATTTTATCAGTTTATCTTGTTGATAGTTTAACTGGAACATTATTGACCACTTTTTATATTCCCTCAATGAGAAACTCTCAGCAGGTATATACTGTTAATGATAGCTAAAGTTTTATATAATAAATGTTCAAGTATTTTTGTACATAATTGATTAATTTTAATAAGTACAATGATGTTTGGGGGAGGAAAGCAAATGGTTGTGTATGCAGTAAGATTGTAATAATTATGCCAAATACTTTATGTAATTGGGGGAACAGGGACACAGGGAATACTATTTGTATATATGTGTTTTTAACAATAATTCTGCCATATTGATTCTATAACTTTGAATGTCAAAAATATATTAATATATGTTGAAATACCTATGTTTAGCAAAAGTGTTTACAACTGGAAAAGGACATAAAATTTAGGTTTGAAGGTTGCTGATTTTGAGGCCTGAGATTTCTGAATTTGCTTGATCATAACATTTTTTGTGTCTGCATAACTACCTTTTTTGAGTCATTAGCTACATATTTATCTTTTAAAATATATTGTAATTTAAATAAACTGTCATAAACTGGATAATAGATCTACTTTGATCCTTTCCTATATTGTATTTAGAATTAAATCTGTGTTTGCTTGGTGCTTTAGCTTAGATTGAATCAGTATTATTTGCTGCTTGTCCATTTTTAAAATTTACTGGAGAATAAGCAAACCTTTTACTCATGTGCACGTATTACTGATGTCAGTAAGCAGCAAAACCTTTTAATGTATGGTAGTTTGTTTACAGATAATTATATTGGTTGTTGAGAAAACATAAATTCAAAATAAAATTGATTGAAATTCGTTGTCCAGTTTTATTTTCTGCTGAGTGGTGCATTATAAATCTATTTGTGAGGAAATTAAAATAGATTCTTATTTTTTATTAGGCTTCATATATGATTTTAAGAAACAAAGATAAAACCCAATATCTTTTTGTTCCCTCTCTCCAACACAGTTCAATTACATAATTTATATTATTTATTAACATTTTCATGATATCCTAGTCAAATGACTGGGTAATAACTCTATCCAAGACTGCAATAAATACCAAGAAAACCACATAAAATCAAGTAGCCTGTTTCTATTGTCACTAAATAATATAATTGAAAATCTACCCTGTTTCTCCAACAATACGGCCTCCCCCAATAGGAAGTCCCAGCATGTTTTATAGGCATGAAATGAAATTAAGCCCCTACCCCCCAAATTAAGGCCTATATTAAAACATGCGAAATGGGGGGGAAATGGCAGTGGGGCTTGCCGTTAGGAAGTACTTTTGTTGCGCACCCGGATATGGTACTGCCTGCGTTGACCCTGATACGAAGTGCCCCACCAACGCCGAGGTCAACATCCAAGCCGTCGCCGCCCGCCCGAAGATACAAGGGGGGGGGAATTAAGTCACCCCCGAAAAGATGGCCTAGCCATTTTTTCGGGGCTCAAAAAAAAAAAAAAGACCCGGCCTTATTATATGAGAAACATGGTACCTATATATGTATATTGCATCTGAGGAGCAGGAGAATCATGTGTATCATAAGGGGTACAACTGAAAAGGTCTGCTTCATCAAATGCACTTTATGTCAGGCTGGAACCTTAAGCAGAGGCTCTGGATAATCCAGCTGCACAGGCTGTATCGTTTGGTATGGTTGGTTACCATGGGATTTAGGAATTTATACATATGTCTGGCACTTTAAATTGAGATCAGAAAACTATTGGTCAGCATTATACCTGTAAAACTGATTTCATCTCTTAAAGATCCTCTTGCTGATATTCTGTGAAAGTGGAAGCATCACCATAATTCAATTTGGATGAGAATATTTCAAATATAGAAAAGCATTTGGTTATATAGAACAATGAAGTGACAATAATCTTGGGAAGAAGAAACTGGCAGCTGAAGGCTATGTTAGACCACTGCGTCACTGCACATTAGGGAACATACAGTATATGTCATTCAGATATGGATGCAAAGTTATTGCATCCAGGGGTGGGATCCTACCGGCATAAAAACTGGTTCACTTTGCGTGTGTGCGCATTACTTACAAATTACCAGGTCCGGCAAGCATTCACCTGCTCTAGCTGATGAGTGGCACTCAGCTGTGTTGTGCAAAGCAGCGGAGGAGAAAAAAGCAGAGACTAAAGGACATCTAGAGCCTGGGCGGGCAGGCCAAACAGACAACCAGAAGATCGTCGCAGCAAACCATCTATACTTGCCCATCAACCCCTTCGCAGTGTAGGTATGTGCTGATGCCTAGGTACACTTAGAAGCCCAAATCAAGCTTAGTGTAAGGGCCCGCATCTCCTCTCCATTCAAGAAACTAGCACTCTTGAAACAATTAGCATTTCAAGGTAAAAGGTAAAGGTTCCTCCACACATGCATGCTAGTCGTTTCCGGATCTAGGGGCAGTATTCATCTCCGTTTCTAAGCTAAAGAGCCAGTGCTGTCTGAAGACATCTCCATGGTCATGTGGTCAGCATGACTAAATGCCAAAGGTGCACGGAGTGCTGTTACCTTCCCACCAAAGTGGTCCCTATTTTTCTACTTGCTTTTGAACATTGACAGAAGGTTGACAGAAGCTGGGACAAGTAAACAGGAGCTCACTCCATTACGCAGCGCTAGGGATTCGAACCACTGAACTGCTGACCTTCTGATTCACATTCTAAGCATCTTAGCCACTGAGCCACTGCATCCCTAGCATTTCAAAAGAAGCCTTTTATTGAGGGAAAGAGCAAGACAAAAGGGAAGCAGAATCTGAGGATTCCTGGGCAATTCAGTTAGATTAAGGCAGTAACCCCTCCCCTCAGTCAGGTGTTGAATAAGCCAATCCACAAGTGTGAAGTTGTTTTGAGAATCGCTGGTGGAGGAGGTGATAAGAAGCTGTTCTCAGTCATCTCTTTCTGGAGGCTCCAGAGCAGAGACAAAACAGAGGGCCCTCCCTCCTTACATTCCCATGAAGGTAAATCAAAGTACAGGAAAAAATAGATACCAGGAAAAAGGCTATAAACTAAAGAATGCACCCAAGTCCTGACACCCCTCCCCACCAAAATGGCAGCATCCCAATAGGGATCAATTGGATCTGATATGCTGCCTCTCTAGGAATAGGAGAACTCCACCTAGAAAACACAAAGATGAAACAGAGCAATGAGTTATCAGGGCTTATTAGGGTATTGTGCATGGAATTTTGTCAGTAAGTTGGGAGCCCTAACAAGTTTCTTAGCCACCCACTCGTTCAGGTGTTTCCAAGAGACTAGGCATTGCATGACCCTGTGGTGTGTGCGCTAGTCTAGAATTTTCTTAATTTTGAAGTGTTGCTAACCTTCAATCATGATAGGTGGAGGCGGAATGTCTATTGGTGGTCTGAGTGGGGAGGTATTTCGGGTTTCAATAAGCTGCAATGAAATATGGTGTGTACTTGCCTGAGGGTTTTTGGCAGCAGTAATTCAACAGGTTTATGATTCAGGTGATAGGGAAAGGTCGTATGAATTTTGGTCTCAATTTTTGGGAGGGTTGCAAGGATTGTAGAAACTTGGTGGATAAATACACCCTATTGCCTACTTTAAATGGTTTGGGTTCTGTTATTTTTTATCAGCTTGTGCTTTAAAAGTGGCTCTAGCTTCACTTAGAGCTTTTCTTACCACTGGCCAGGTGTTTTATAGTTGGTGTATCCACTCCTTAAGGGAGGGTATGGTTGGTTCCTCTACAGCAGTGGTTCCCAAACTTTCTCAGTCCACCGCCTCCTTGGTGCTACAAACTCATCCTCAGTGCCCCCCACCCAGGGGCGGGATTCACATTTCTGTAGGCGTGGCCTAATTTGAGGGCATGACCTGCTGCTGGTCACGTGACTGGGTGGGCGTGGCCTGGTCACATGACTGGGTGGGCATGGCTTGCTGGTCACGTGACTGGGTGGGCATGGTTTGGTGACTGGCAGACCAAATACAAGTGGTCCTCACTTAATGGCAGGTTGCTTAGCAATTTATGACTGGCCTCCCCAGAGCTACCTTACCTGTTTTTGGAGTTTTGACAGCGATGCACACACACACACACACACACACACACACCCTTCTAACCCAGCTGGTTGGACTAGATATCTCATTCACTTTCTCCTCCCTCCCTTTCTCTTTCTTTCTTTCTTTTCTTTTCAGTACACCTCCCCCTTGGTGCTACAAACTCATCCTCAGTGCTCCCCACCCCTACCCCCACCCCCTATAAACAGCATTATTCAGAATAGCGGTTTGCATGACTCACCAAAGAAGATAGTAACAGTAAAATTAAAAATTGTAACAATTGCACATTTATTCAAAATCCAATTTAAAGGTACAGTACAACCTGCAGAAGCCTGGCATGTGCCACCTCTGCAACCACAACCCAGGCCGGACCGAATACCCTTTGAGGCCGTGTTCGATGGCCACCACAAATATTTCAATTACTTTCTCACTCGAATCCGATCCCATATAGAACAATTTGGAGATCAATATGCCACAGAGCGTGATTTGGTTACGGCCATAACAAATGGGATGAATGAAGGGGATGCTTCAGACTGGGTGGCCCAACTACACAACGAACAAGCCCCCGAATTACATGATGTAAATGGATTTATTCAATTATTAAGGCTCAGATTTGAAAATCCAGACAGGGTAGCAGAGAATGAAGAGAAGTTAACGGAAATGAGGCAAGGCAAGCAACCATTGTCAGAATTCATTTGGGACTTTAGAAGGGTCGCAAGCCACCTCATGGATTGGCCTGAAAGAATGATTTTACACTATTTTAAAAAAGGCATTGATCCAGAAGTAAAGAAGGCCTGTGAAATTAGGGGAATCCCAGAGACCTTACAGTCGTGGTATACTGCCTCCCTCAGCTTAGATCACAGAATCAACCTACACAGGAAACCCCTTTCAGCAGCCCCGACTAAGAGAATTGTGGCGAGGAGACCGCCGACTGGACCAGCTGAACCTGCTCATACCCGACCCACCAGGGTGCTGAAATGTTACCGATGTGGCCAAGCTGGTCATAGGGCAGCAGACTGTCAAGCCCCTGCTCCTGTGCCACAAGCTCCGCAGTCAAAGCCTAATATAGCTGTTAGAGGTCGGAAGAATCAAGG